CAAATCTGCAACTACAGCCACTGGACATGATAAACCACTCTTTTATTTTCTTTATTTTATTTTCTGTTATTTTTATTTCTGCAATCTTTTAGATTTAATTCTTGTTTGTTTCTCTATTTTGCAGATCTGAATTCGTTCGGTTCATGTCTAAGGTTTCTCGAGGGGTTCGAGGGTTGTAGAAAGGACGGACGCTCAATTCTTGTGAGGAGGGGTTTCTACAAACTGTCTGGCCGATCTGCAACTACCGCCACCGGATCCAGATTCTGAATCGTTTTTATTTATTTCTTTTGTTAATTTCTGAATTTTAGTTATTGTCTTGTTTAATTCTGAATTTTTAATTTTAGCATTAATAAATTTTATTTTATTATTTTCTACAATTCCTAATTGTATTCTCTTTCTCAGATCCAAGTATGTAACGGTTTTTCCCTTGCTTCTCTGTGGATACGACCCGTTCTCACCCATTTACTGTGTTTGTATTTGTTTGAGAATCGAAAAAATTTTATAAATGTTTAAACTGGTATTTCGGAGTGTTTAACAACGCACTTCTGGACACACCAGCAACCTACCCTGAATGGTTAGCCAACATTGTGCCAGTGCCTAAAAAGGATGGAAAGGTTAGGATGTGTGTGGATTTTCGGGATTTAAACAGAGATAGTCTCAAGGATGATTTTCCCTTGCCAAACATTGGCATTCTTGTTGATGACACGTCAGGACATGAAATGTTCTCTTTCATGGATGGATTTTCAGGGTATAACCAGATCAAAATGGAAGAAGAGGACAAAGAAAAGACGACTTTCATAACACCATGGGGAACCTTTTGCTACAAGGTCATGTCGTTTGGGCTTAAGAATGCTAGGGCAACTTATTAGAGAGCAATGACAGTGCTCTTTCATGACATGATTCACAGAGAATTGGAGGTATACATGGATGGCATGATTGCTAAGACCAAGAAGGCAGAGAATCATTTAAAGGACCTCCGAAAGCTCTTTGAAAGACTCAAGAAATTCCACCTCAGGTTAAATCCCTAGAAATGCATATTTGGGGCATCATCAGGAAAGTTATTGGGCTTTATCGTTACTAAAAAAGGGATTGAGATTGACCCTGCTAAGGAAGCCATTGTTCATATGCCTCCTCCCCAAACAGAAAAGGAAGTTAGAAGTTTTTTGGGAAGATTGCAATATATCCGTAGATTCATAGCGTAACTTACACCAATATGCGAGCCGATTTTTAGGTTGCTAAGGAAGAATACCCCGGTGAAATGGAATGAAAACTGTCAAGAAGCACTTGACAAAATTAAGGAGTACTTGACCAACCCACCAATATTAGCTCCCCCTAGGCCTGAGGAACCCTTGCTTATGTATTTGTCTGTATAGGAAGATTCCATTGGATGTATACTGGGGCAACATGATGAAACAAGTAAAAAGGAAATAGCCATTTACTACCTAAATAAAAAATTATGTGACTATGAGACAAGGTACACCATACTAGAAAAAACATGTCTAGCCCTTGTTTCGGTGCAATGTCTTTTGGTAGTGAGATCTTGCACGAACCAAACGGGAATAAACTGTTTTTCGGTCTTACGAGCTTCTAAATAGATGGAAGACCACACGAAAAGACTTGCCAAATGGGCCCTTTATCTTTCATGTGAACACTGATGAATTACATTAACTTTCTTTTCCATGAATTATATTGTTTATGATTATTTCCATAAACTATGCAATTGACTTTGTTTTAGCCATTCTTATTATAATTTATGTTTGTTTTTTTGTCAAATTGATTGGACCATTTTTTATTCTTCTAATTTGTTTATAAGTCTTGATTGTTTCATTCTTGATTAACAAAACCCGTGCATCACATTGGTCCCACTAATAAATATGTAAACAATAAGGATGAGTTAGTCAATTTCCTAAAGCATAGAGGTACTTTAAGAAATTTGCCCTTATTTTAAAGGGCAAATTTCTTAAGCTACCCTTACTATTTAGCTAATTAATAAACTCTACCCGTACTGTTTATATATTGTCTTAAAGTACACAATTGACATCATTGTTAAGTGCTAACAGAAAAAATGAAACATTGAATTTGCCCTCCACTATTCCTCAAATTTTCAAAATAAAACCTAACTGATGAAAGCTTTTAGGAAGATAGGAAGCAAATCGCTGCTCCATCTCCATCTCCTTATCTATTTCTGTCCCCGTCTTTGTTTCCATCTCCCTCTTTGCCTCCATTTCTATTTATGCCTTCGTTCTCACAGACCTAGTTGAAGCCTCCATTCTCAGAGAGAGAAAGAAATGTAATTTTCTCTCCCTATCTGTTCATCACTTCACACATGAGAAAACCAAAATTGCAATTATTGGCTCCAATAAACCTACCTACCTTTGAAGAACGGAGGAAGAGATGGGGATAAGAGTTTAATAAAGTAAAATATTTACTGTAAAGCCTTTAGTTTGTTTCTTATAATGGGATAGAATGGAAAACACTTAACTCTTAAACCGCACCAAGAGCCTTGCAGGGAAGGCAAGTAAGCCTAATCAAACATTCTTACAAATAGCTGGGTGGCCAAAAACTAAACCACTAGCACTGATGAGGTTGGCAATGATCTCCACAATAAATGAATGCAACACATTTTGGGACCGCCATTAAAATGACTCAGGAGACATAAACCTTGAATGGCTAAAGTCAAATGGAATCATTTACTCCTCTGCTCAGAACCAAGGGAAGGTTCTTTGCTTGGTATTCTCTTTCTCTAGATCATGAAACCAATTCACATGAGGAATCGGGAATATTCAGGAGTGAGTAGACTATCTTCAGGATTCAGGAGGTTCCCCGGTTCTCATCTAAGTTGTAGAGTTGCAGAGAGAGGTCACCAATGGAGGATATCTTCTCCCATTTTTGTCCTTGTCTTCCCTATTTCACACTAAATGTAGGGAGTCAGTAAAGGGGCGATGATTTCTCGGCATGACTATTTCAAAATGGATCCCCACCAAAATAATCCCCTATTTGTCGTTCTAGTTCAAGCTCAGACCCCAATTGATTGGCCCACTAATCCCTGCGACTGCTTCAATGATGTTTAGAACTGTAAGAATTCTATGTTCTCTAGTTCTTCTTTTACTCTCCAAACTTATCCAATTTAGTTCTTCACGACCTAATGTGTCTCCATCAATTTTAATAGGTTGTGTGACATGTTGGTGCCCATGCATTACCTTCGCCTAATAATAATTAAACTGTTTTGATGATGAAGTGGTGAATTCTGAGCTTTTGGGTTCTTAGTGCATCTTCATCTGGTTACCAAGCAGCTCCGCTGTCGATGACGAAAGAGCACAATTTTCCTAGAACATCAAGTAAGATTAAGGATAAACATCTAATTAATATAAACATGCATGGTTTTGCCATGTTTCTTTCCTTCATTCTATTTATTATTTGGGTTGCAGATCCAGAAGCGGTTGTGGAACCAAAGAATACATATGCGATTGTAGAACTTTGTTTTCTAGGTTTCTTTTTAGGCTTTGATGGTGGTCCTGACATTGTTTTTATTGTTTGTTCATTTGTTCATTCTTGAAGGTGAGATAGCTCTATCACTCATAGGGCTTTCTGCAATGCTTTGGAGGAGGATAGTGCAAGAGCTCAAGCGTATTTGAGCTTAGGGTTATAGTTCCGATCCGTTGAGAGAGAGAGAGAGAGCTACTGAAAACACTCCGACATGGGAAAAGGTTTTAAAGATAAATTAATAATTTGTAACAAAAAGGGTATTATTGTCATTTTTTCAAAATATAACAGTCACGTGGTGTGGCATTTGAGTGGATTGTGACGGAACCCTAATGACATGGGAGTAATTAGTCAATTGTTAAAAACAGTAGAGGTAACGACAATATTTAAAGAGTAAGGGTGGAGTTTGTCAATTAGCTAAATAATAAGGGTAGTTTAAGAAATTTGCCCTATTTTAAACAAGATTACATTACATTTCTTCTTTATATAGTTATCGATTTTTATTGTTTCACTTATTTATGATAGTTATTTTAGGATCAATTACAGATAGGTACCTTAAATTTTCAATTGTAACACTTGAGTACCCTGAACTCTCAAAAATAGATACTTGGGTCCATTCGTTAGTATTTCGTTAGCTAAACATTACATAATGCCAAAAATACCCTTCTCACGTATTTCTGAGATCATTTTTAGGTAACCAAACGTCTCCCCATGATGATGTTCTCACATGGACAACAAATAACATATTCAAATTTTCTGATTACGACGTTCTCTAGTAGGGCAGGTTGGGCCGGGTTTATGGTCAACCCAAGCCCAGCCTTAAAATTTGGGTTTAAGGCCCGAGCTTGAGGTCAAGCCCGATTTTCCCAACTCGCTCTGTAATTTGATACACTCGTGTTGGGCTCGGGCCCGGGCCGGGCTCAAGTTGGTCAATGAACCCACTCTAAAATTATACATATATAAATTTCTTTATGCAAATATATACATATATTTATATATGTATGTATGTATGCGAAATATCTATACAAATGTTATATATACAAATATGTATGTATATATGTGTGCAACATTTACATATATACATATATATTATATAAATGTATTAATGTATATGTATGTATGTATATATGTATAAATGTATATAATTGGCCTAGGCTCGGGCCGGGTTCGGACATAGCCCAAACTCGGCTCGAAAAATAAAAAAGCTCAATTTCTTGGGCCCAAACCCAACCCAAGGACTGAAAATCCAAGCCCAACCCATGTAAAATTCTTGATTGGGCCAATTCGAGATCAGGCTAGGCCTGCCCAAGTTGCACCCCTATTCTCTAATGATAATTTTAGTTTGTAGAATGATCTAAAAAATACACCAAAATGATATTTTTGACATTATGTAATATTTAACTATCGCAATAATAACGTATGGATCCATGTGTGTATTTTTTAAAATTCAAAATTATAAAATATTGCAATTGAAAGTTGATACCTATATGTCACTACCCTAAAGTAGGGCACCTATCTGTAATTTACCGTTATACAAATCCCGTGGATGGACGGGTGCCACAACCGGCGGTTTGATTGAAAAATTTCACGCTTTTTTTGTTACATTTGAAGCGATGCGCCTTTCTTCATCTCCATTAACGGCTTTTGCGATTCCATGCTCCTTAAATTCTTCCCACCTTTCATTCTCACAGTTCGTATCGAACGTCAGTTGTTCTCTGCTCTTCCTTCTCCAACTTTTATTAGGTCTCCTTCAAATGGCAAAGTACACGAGGACGCATCCCTCAGACCCATCACACCTTACCGTTCTGGTAGAATGAAAGCCTCAATGGAGATTTCCGAAGCGACAAATGTCGCTGCATCCCATTCAGGTGATTCGTTTTGTCCAAACATTTCGAAAGTAGCAGCAAAATTGAAGTTTCTTCCTGAAGGAAGACAAGTACATTTACACATAGTGAAATTAGGATATTATCACTGTCAATCTTTGCAAAACCATCTCTTAAGTTTCTACTTGAGGTGCAAAGCGTTTGCCGATGCAAATAGATTGTTTGATGAAATGCTTGAACGAAATGTAGTGTCTTGGAATACAATGATCTCAGGAGCTGTGCGCTGTGACCCTAGTTCGCAGTCAAGCAATAACCTCAGTTTGTTCTATTTTAGGAAAATGCTGGCAGAAAGGGTGGAGCCCAACCATATTACTTTTATTGGTTTGCTCCGAACCTGCACCGAGCTAGATGACATTGAGTCTGGGAAACAGTTGCACTCTTTTATATTGAAATTGAGATTCAATTCAAATTGCTTTGTGAACACTGCACTTGTTGATCTATATGCGAAATGCACTTTGGTGGATGATGCACGCCGAGTGTTTGATAATGTTCTTTTGAGAGACCTGGTTTGTTGGAATGTGATGGTGTCTTGCTATGCTTTAAATGGTAAGGGGGAAGAGGCTTTTGGAATCTTTCGGTTGATGCAGTCTGAAGGTGTAAATGGGGATGATTTTACCTTTACTAGTCTGTTAAATGCATGTGGAATTCTGGGCTCTTTTCCATTAGGGAAACAGCTACATGGTTTCATTTATAAAATGTCCTTTGATTTGGATGTTTTTGTGGCTAGTGCACTTGTTGATATGTATGCAAAGACTGGAAGTATGGAGGATGCTCACAAAACTTTTGATGGGATGATAATTCAGAATTTAGTGTCCTGGACCACCATGATTGTGGGCTATGGGCACCATGGCGATGGGAAGGAGGCTATGAAACTTCTCAAAAGAATGATCCAGGAATATTTTATGCCTGATGAGCTAACATATGCTAGCATCCTTAGCTCATGTGCCAATTTGGCTGCTACTTGTGAAATATTCCAAGTTCATGCCCATCTGTTGAAAAGAGGGTTTGGAGGCTTTTTATCTATCGGGAACTCTCTAGTAAATGCATATTCCAAGTGTGGAAATATTGCTGGTGCATTCCAATCTTTTAATTCAATCTTGGAGCCCAACCTTTTTACCTGGACTTCAATGATTGGTGCTTCCGCATTTCATGGTCTTTCTAGGGAGGCCATACAACTTTTCGAGACAATGCTTTCCAAAGGGGTAAGACCAGATAGAATTGCATTCCTTGGGGTCCTCTCAGCCTGCAGCCATGGAGGTCTTGTGGATGAGGGGTTTCACTACTTTACTTCAATGATAAGGGATTACCAAATTTCCCCAGATTCAGAGCATTATACTTGTCTGGTTGACCTTCTTGGCAGAGCTGGTCATCTGGATGAGGCTTATAATGTTCTGATTAATATGCCTAATGAACCTAGTTGTAATGTCTTGGGAGCATTTATTGGGGCATGTAAGATCCACAAAAATGTCGGATTGGCGAAGTGGGCAGCAGAAAGGCTTTTCAAGTTAGAACCAGATGACCCTGTGAATTACACAATCATGTCTAACCTTTATGCTTCAGTAGGACATTGGATTGATGTGGCAAGAACACGCAAGACAATGAGGGAGAAGTGTGGTTATAAGATGCCGGGTTGTAGCTGGATGGAGGTTGGTGGTGAGGTTCACACATTTGTATCTAGTGACAAATCACACCATCAGGCACCTGAGTTGTATGCTATGTTACATATGTTGCTTAGGGTAATGAAGGAGGAAGATTATGCATACAATGTGGACTTTCTGCTCCACCCTGTTTAGAGTTGAATGTATTCTAAGCTAGGTATGGACCTCATATTGATGACTACTTGATGAGCATTCCCAGTGGTGGTCATCTCATAGATATGACTCCTGCTCAACATTCTGAGGTAAGAACTTTTAATAGATTTTATATTTACTAAAGTTTCAGCATCTTCTACATAATTTAACATAATTGTCACCTATTGTATTACAATTTCTATATTATAATTCTCTTATAAGCCTTCAATTCATAGGATACTCTTTCTATTGCATAGAATAGTTCTAGTAGTGATTTTAATGGCATTGGATTCCTGCATTTGATGTTATGTTTTACCTGATGTAAGCATGACTTGAGAAGTTTGTGCTGCCTTGTTTTAGCTAGCAGGTAGGGGTTGCATGAAGTTTTCCTTCCTTAGAACATACATACAGGGAGGAAAGTTATTGCCTAGTGAGTCAACTCATGAATTGAGGATGATAAGATTTAATTTATTTATTATTGCACTTGTACTAAATTCTGTGCTAATTCAGGTGACTTATAAAATCTACAAATGGATCACTTAGAAGAAGAAATAAGTGAGAGAACACTTGGCAGTTACTAGAATTCACCAAACCGAACTTCATTTAATCAAATCAATTGTCCATTTTTTTTTAAATCATAAAGACCCTATTTTTAGACTCAACAAGAATTTGAATCACTTTACAAACTCCAATTTGGACTATGAAGTTGACTCAAAAACAACTTCTAAATTCTAATTGCTCTAGAACTAAGACAAACCCATAAATAATCCATGGAGATGCTCAAGTGAAGACTTTAACTCCCAAGGTAACTCTAGATATCCATTGCTAACTCTACTTAAACTAATTTAATGTAAAGAAACTAGAAATTACTAAAAACAGTAAATCATGAATTTACTATAAATAGTAACTATGGGAATTTCTATACATATAAGTCTGAAAGTTAGTGTACATAATTATTTTGTTTTCACTAAGAATAGTAAATTTTTGGAAGACACAAACTTAATCATGTTCCTAATACACCAACAAACTAGAAAATAAATTAAAAAACTCAAAACAAAAATGCAAATATCTTGATCATTGAAAATTCTGAAATTGGTGTAAGAATCATAAAACTATGATTCTAAAATTGGTATAGGAATCATAAAACAATGGTGTCTGTCTTTGCTTCCATATTTGGCATCACATGGGTTTTGATGTAATTTGAGAGATCAATGGCTAGTGATGTTAGCAAAAAGGTTAGAGGCCTGCAGGTGGTTCCCTAGGGAGGAGCACTATGATGCTCAAGTCAATAAGAGGATGAAGAGATAAGCTAGGTTGAGCTGGTCGTAGCTAAGCAGAGCTATAGAGAGTTTAAGAGATAGAGAGTAGGAGAGCTAAAATTCTAGAAAGAGTGAAAGAAGAAATACCTTGGGTGGCATGCCCTTAAATGCTGTAGGGGAGTGGCGTTGTGCTCCTCACTTTGCAGGGCATGTGGTTTCTTGAGGTCATCCTTGAATGAGGTTCCAAGGATTGGTTCCGTGCTCTTTGCATGAAGGAGGTTGGGTTGAGCCTGGTGTTCACCACGTGTCCCTCTTCGTCTTGTTTGATGGTGTTCACCACGTGTCCCTCTCCAATCAGACTGATGTATTTTGACATTTATTAGGGAATAAAATCAGACCATTATTATTAATGTGTGTTTTGGTATGTTTTTTTTTTTTTTTTTTTTGTGCATCACCCCTTAAACTAGACATATATGAGACATATGTTAGTTTAGAATGTTCTCCACCATCGTTATATTGCAAAACTGGTGGAGCAGTTTGTCTCGGTATGTATCGGTATGTTATACTCCAATCAGACATGTGTTTCGATATGTTTTTGCCAAGGATGACACTATTATACTGCCGAATTGGTGGAGTAGTTTGTCTCAACTACTAGGGTTAGACCTAATGATGGGGATCGGTCCTAGTGTTTTAAAAGCGCAAGGCGCAAAAAAAGTGCAAGGGCCAATTTTGCACCTGAGGTGCAAGGTGAGGCGTGCGCTTTTTTGAAGCAAGGCGTAAAAAATACAAAAAAATGCTAAAAAATAAAAAAAATGTCAAAAAATGCAAAAAAAATCATAAAGGGAATAGGCTGCAAAGAAAACCCACACTTAATAATTTCTTTCCAAACATATAATTTTCCATTACCTTGTAAAAGTAGATTCATACAATTTACCAAACATATAATTTTCCATTACCTTCACGCCTACTGTTATCGCCACTGTTGATTTTACTAATTGAAATATCACCACCTAAACCTTCACCCCTCTCTCAATTAATCCTCTGATTTGGTGAAGGGAGTGTGTTGCTCTGTTGAAAAGGGAATAGGCTTCGGGTTAAGTGTCCCCTGTGTTTCCTTTGTAGGCTCTGCTGGATTTTACTGCCAATTTTGGTGACCTGAGAGTTTGCAAAACTTCCTCCTGGATGTCTTCTGATGGGCCCAAGGCATCATCTTCTAAGAAAAGCAAGTCTGTGTCGTCTGTGTTAGACTCTAAAGAAAATTCCTCCTCCTTGGAGTTGTCTTCCTCCTCCATTTCTAACTGATTGCGTCTGACACTTCGGGGATTGCGACAGCCAAATGAGAGATTCTGTAGCTTCTTGGACGGGATCCACTGTAAAGAGCTTCCATTCTGGGTTGAGGCTGAAACCTGATTTGCAGGGCTTGAAGAAGAAGATAGACCACAGTTAGTGTCTATCGAAAGGAGACCCTTTGGCACATGACTACTTAAGTGATCATGTGCCTTTGAGGCTGGTGGGCCTTCTAGACTTGGCCCATTTGCCAATTTGATAGATGGGCCAAGTGGAATCAAATTAACTGGGTCATTTCCTTCTGAAAAAAATGGGCCCACACAATTCTACAGTCTTATGAGTGCTAATATGGGCCCTCACGTGACAACTTAAGTTAGAGGCCCCCCTGGTTTGAGCCACTGGTTTGCCCTTATTTGGAGACTCCCTTGTCTTCTCTGCAGCTAGATTAAATTCAAATTGTTTTCCTTTTGAGGAAAGACCCCCTAAAGTGTTTTAAAGCCTGTTCTTGGCGCCTTTAACTGCCACCTGGGCATAGGTCTTTAAATAAGCCAGCCCTTGGTCTTCACGTTTTTGACTTTCCAATCTGCCCACTTCTTTTGGAGGAGCTAAAGCCTGCTTATCCATTTTTGTGAAAATTCTGTCAAACCTCTGATCTTCCAATCCCATCCTTCTGTCAGACCCCTGAATTTCCGATCCCAACCTTCCATGTAGCACCTGTGCCTCTACCTGTTGATCTTCTTCCTGCCGACCTTCCCTGCATCTTCAATGGAGGAAGCCAGCCACACTGGGATGAACAGTCCATCCACACAGAAAATTATTTTCCTAGGGATCTCCTCTGGTTTGACTCCACTCAAGAGGAGGGCTGTAGAACGAAGATCTCCCCAAAATTCACCATCGAGACGTGCACCACAAAGAACAACAATGAGAGAGGCTACTTCATGTTTCCACAGATAAAAAGGCAGCCCTAAGTCCTAACACCTGAATCACCACTCCATCCATAACCAAAAATGTCTTTGTGTTAGATAAGGGAGTCTAATGAAACACATCAAAAGACCCCAGACTTCTTGGAAGCTCTTAGCAGAAACTTCCATCAAATTATCAAGGGGATAGAGTACTGCTTTAAAACTGTCAAAAGGAGTTAATATGAAAGTACTTCTTAACCTCAACTTATGTTGCGTAAGATCAACAACTTTCTTTCAATCAGAGACTGGACTTTTACCTTCAACTACCAGCATCCTTTCCCACACTTCTCTCCTGAGATTGATGTTCACAGTAGGGGTGGCTGTACTTTGAGCCAAAGCTATAGGGTCATACTTGGAGCCTGAAGGTTCAGAGGGAGCTTGCAGTACTTCCACTTGAGAGATCTCTTGTTTTTCTTTCTTCTAGTTATTCAGAAGAGCCTTAAGACTTTCAGCAGCCCCCTGTCAACCTTGGCTATCCTTTCCTTCTGGGAAGCATACCAATTGTTTCTTACCCTTGGCAAAGAACTCTATAAGGGTAATGTAAAATCCTCTATAGTTCCTTCTGCATTCCAATATGTACCTTCTTCCTGTTAGTGTAACTCTTTCTTTCCAACTTGGGTTCTATCCTTTGTTTGCAGCCTCAAGCAGAAAATCTTTGAGCCATTCCACTATCTCTTTTCCTTCTACCAATACAGTTGCCTTCTGCTTCTCCCTTATCTTCAAGCTCAGTTGTCCCTTGATTTTTAACTCCTCGAATAGAGAATTCTTGGCCTCCACTTTCAGGAAGTGTCTCCACCTTGAAGTCGCCATGAAACCTCTTGAGTTATGAATGTCCATTTTGACTCCCTCCTCTTCTAATAGTATGCTTTTCTGTTGGGAAGTTCGTTGAAAGGTTCATAATTGCACAATCTCATCCTCAACCATACAAGATTGCTTGGTTAAACAAGATGATTCTTTAGGTAGAGCAAAGAGCTCTGGTTTATATTTCATATGGGGCTTATGTTGATGATATTTGGTGTGATGTTGTTCCTATGAATGTTACGCATATTCTATTAGGCCGACCATGGCTTTATGATAGGGGTGTATACCATTGTTGAAAAGAAAATATATATTACTTTCTATTTAATGGAAAGAGAGTTGTTATGAAACCTACGTCACCTGATGAGATTAGAAAGCATACTAAGACCCCTCAAAAGGCAGCTCCACCCTAGAAACAAGTAGTTGAACAAAAGAAGCAACCTCTCTTGCTGTCCAAGAAGCAATTTGAAGAGGAAAGCAAAGAATCAGGCCTTGTTTATGCCCTAATAGTGAAAGAAGTGAATAAACCAGCACATGCCCCTATTTCAGAGGTGCCTAAGGAGGTTGGAGACTTCTTGGCTGATTTTTTAGATTTGATCCCAGACGAATTGTCTGGATCCATACTGAATGAATCCCATAGACCATGCTGAGTTGAAGAGGCAAGTGGATGATCTATTGAAGAAGGGCTTCATTAGAGAGAGTTTCAGCCCATGTGCTGTACCCAACACTTTCATGAGAGTTATGACTTAGGTACTTTGTCCTTTTATTGGTCGTTTCTTGGTTGTTTACTTTGATGACATTCTT